GGAACTGCTAGTAGCTTTGAACTACTGACCGTGAGCTTAGCAATTTGATTCATAACCACTATGCTGCCAGAGCTCCTTAGGTTACCAGAAAGGCTGCTACCTTTCAGTGGGCCACCAACCAATATGATCTTGTCAAGGTCCTACAATAGACCTAACCCAGTTTGTCGTTATACTGATCCACATTTGTCATTTGAGACACAGGTCTCAGCAACCTTGTAGAATTCACTAATTGGTCCCTGCAGAAGCGCAACAATGCTACAGGTAAGAGGTGCCCATAGAGCCTTTAGACCTGCTAAAGTACAGGCCAGTTAGCTGAATGGTTGAACAGTACACACTCAATAAGAGAAAACTTCTAGTTTGTTAATGGGTATATACAGTTATTGATCACAAGACCTATAGTTACGAGACAGTAAGTCCAACCACAATGTATCAAAAAGTGTTGCTTTTGAAGGTTAGAGTGAACAGCACTTACATGTTTTAGGGCTGTTAGGTCCAGATTGACGGTAGTGTGGCCACTTAGCCCTCATAACCTGTTATCTGGCAGGAGTGTCTTGGTAGAAAACTCACCAAGGGTATTTGCATTTGTGTTCAATGTGTAACATTTCTATAAAATATATGCTCAAACACATGCAAGGGAAAAATCTTCTGATAAGCCTAATTTAAAATATTTTTGAGTATCGATTAATTATTATACTTACATTTATGTTTTTCCTCTTTGGGAGCACTTTGTTTCTCAAGCATAAGATTTTCTTCTGGTACTTCATCAAGTGCTATAAAAGAGATGCATTTAGGCCATTAAATAGAAAGATAGAGCTATTCGGAAATCACAAGATTTCAAATTTATAGCAAGTGAAAAGCAATTGTGCAAGTGTATGGCAATTTTCTTGTACTTTAATATTATAAGAAAATTGTCATTTGTAAGGCTCAATGCAAAATGTGTAAGGACACTCTTGATGGGTATGTGTCGAATACATCATATCATTTCATTAATATTTCTAGACATAAAATATAATTGCTATTTCTCTAATTTTTGTAGGTAAGTTATATTGCTAGAACAATGTATATGCCTTGAGATTATTATAGCATTATTTGTAACTGTAAAATATTCAACACTCTCTAATTGTTTAAATAAAATAGACTGATTAATAAACTAAATTATATAATACAACATATGTTATAGAGCAAACTATGACTTAAAAGGTATCATAAACTGATGTAAATTAATGAAAAAAGATCTCCATAAACTAGCATGGAAGAATTACCAGGAGATAATGTCAAGTGAAAATAAAAGTGGATATAAAGCATGCTACCTTCTATGTAGGAGTCCTGGGGTGGTGCCGGGGGTTAATGCGTCACACTGCAAAGTCATTTGAACTGCAAGGTCAGTGGTTCAAGCTCACCAGCTGCTCCTTGGAAACCCTATACTGGGTCACTATGGGTTGGAATTGACTCCATGGTACTTAACTACTACTACCTTTTATGTAAGAAAGAGGGAAATTAAAAAAAAAAAAACAAAAAAAAACCAGCAATATTTTCCTTCATAAAATGAAATACAGGAAAGATGACCCAGAACCGTCACTCATCTGTGAGTTTGTCTTATAGTGGTGACTTGCCTGTTGTTGTGGTGCTGTAACATATGTCACCCATGGTGGGCGGGTTTCAGCTCAGCTTCCAGAATAAGACAGACTAGGAAGAAGGAGAGGCAGACTACTTTTGCCATTGGAATATTGAGCCATTGGAAACCTTCAGAAGAGCAGCAGAAGACTGTCAGCTATAGAACACTGGAAAATGAAGACAGTATGAGCAGCAGCACAACATTGTCAGACATAGTGCCAGAAGATGAGTCCCTCAGGTTGGAAGGCACTCAAAACACCAAGGCGGAAGAGCTGCCACCTCAAAGGAGACTTGACCATGATGACACTACTGGACTAAAGTTCTAAGGACCTTTATTTGCTGATGGTATAACTCAAACTGAGGAGAAAGAGCTATAAACAAACATCCATTAATAATCGGTATATGGATTGTAAAAAGTATGAATCTAGGAAAATTGGAAGCTGTCAAAAATGAAATGGAACACAGAGAGATTGATATCCTAGGCATTAGTGAGCTAAAATGTACTGGTATTAGCCTTTTGATTCTGACAGTCACATGGTTTACTA